CACACACACACACACACACACACACACGCACACACACATACACACACTCACACACTCACACCATACACACACATACACACACACACACACACACACTTCCTCAATCCTATTTCGTCTTCAACAAATTGAATTATGGCTATTACTTATTCACAGTAGCAAATTGCCGTTTCCTGGGTTTCTTTATCTGTACTATATTCGAAAAAATCAAAAGAATAATTCTTACCAAAGTCACGTACATGTAATTCCGACATTTAATTTAAGTCGAATTTGTCTATTTTTTCCCGTTTTAAATTTATACTAACTTCTTTTGTGGTGAACGACCCTTCCAGTTCATGCATCGAAACTCCTAGATTATATTTTCACTTGCCCTTTTAAAAAATTGACTTTAGCCTAGTGAGAACCCAGTGATTCTTGTATAGACCTTTCAAAAAGCCGCTTTGGTTGTTACAACAAAATAAAGTTGGTAACCCTAATAAATCAAACAGTGTAGTCTTCCACACTAAAACTGTTTCAGTTTTAAGGGATGTAATCAAGCACCGTATTCGGGGTGCCCACTGGCATTATCAGGATAGAAGATATTCGGGGACGTCTCCGGCGAGCACCCAGGAACTATTCGGATACACACTCCCGCATTCAGATGCACTGCTTTGGGCCGTCAAACTGGGTATTATTCGCTGCAGATCACACATATAGCCACTAAAACTGTCGTAGATCAATTATTTTCAAGACAATTTCAACTGCAAAATATCAAATTATTGGTTAAAACAGGGGGGCATGTCCCCCTGTACCCCCCCCCCCCCCATTTATTTTTACCTTGTCCAGAGGCACAAAGCATTTCGATTGGTGTATCTCCCTCGGAGACGTGTCCGGATAGATACTGCGCACTATCAATTTACTTCAGTCCAACAACAGACGGGTGACCACTTTTCGAGACTCACGTAGAGACGTCTGCACAGTCTAGGAATTAAATAATTTACAAGCTTACATTGAAATGTATTGGGGAAAGGGGGAGAGGGTGGTGTCATTTTCTCAAGATGAGCAACTGATTGTTGGCTAGGTTACTGAAAATCATTTATTCTTATGACCCAAAGAGCGGTTTTTGATATATGACCCAGAGAGAAACTTTTTTAGTACTGGATTAAGATCTATTAGGACAAAATATATCTACCTGGATACTGTCCTGCAGAAGTGTCATGCAACGTTTCCTGGACATTGCTAAATAAATGAATGAGCTACATAAAAAAACAAAACAGCAAAGAGATGGAAGTGACAAGCTATAGCAATCGTCCACCATACTGTCCAGCTCATGCATAGGTCAACTCACCGTCATAGTTGACCTGTCCGTCTCCGTCAGTGTCCGCCTCCCTGATCATCTCATCCACCTCCTCGTCCGTCAACTTTTCACCCAGATTCGTCATCACGTGACGTAGTTCAGCAGCCGAGATGAAGCCGTTACCGTCCTTGTCAAAAACTCTGAAGGACTCTTTAAGTTCCTCTTCCGTATCTGCGTCCTTCATCTTTCTTGCCATCATCGTGAGAAATTCAGGGAAGTCGATTGTACCGTTGCCTGAGGGGGGTGGGGGTCGGTGGGGAGTAAACGTACATCTGTCAGTTGTATGATGTTCCTTCTACGAAAATAAACACTCATTAAACATGTCTTTTTTGTCCTCTTGTAGTCCTTCTCGTCATCGTCTACCCCCTCCTCCTACTCGTATTCATATTCCTTCTCCTCCTGCTCTTCTCTGTCTTACCTTTCTCCAGCACTAAATGACCGTTATTGTGAAGGTGTGCTTCTCTTTACTCAAATAAACAAATCTTCCTCCTCCTCCTCCTCCTCCTCCTCCTCCTCCTCCTCCTC